CAATCTTATGTTATTTTTCTTTGCACCATCTAGCAGCTGCTGGATTGATTTCTCATGGTCTCTTACTATTTTTAAGAAATCTCTCTTTTCATGCTCACTAACTTCAATCCTATCTTCTTTATCTGATATTCTGTCCTTGCATTGGCTCATTCTGCTGTATATACTTTCAAAGGAGTTTTTAACTCTTGGATATCTGTTTGAATGTTTCATGGACTCCATTTCTTTCGTATGCTGAGCATTCATGGCTTCCATTTCTTTCCTTTGATGGGTGTTCATGGTTTCCCTCATGTTCCTGAGCATCTCTATTTCTTTTTTATGTATCTTCTTTAGTCACTAAGCATTTCTTTCATTCTGGTCACCATCTCTGTAGTTATCTGGAAAATGATTTCTGCTTTGATTTTTTTCTACAGCCTCATTCATTTGCTTTTTACTTCTGCTGTTACCACTTCAGAGAGTCCAGGTAAGTGGCTTTCAGATTGTTCCACCTCATTACCCCCAGAGTTTGCCTTTGGTGAGCTGAAAGTTGCAGGGAGGGGATGTATCTTGTATAAGTGTCTTCTTAGTTTTTTTGTTTTTTTTTAAGTTTGATTACTGAGTTGATCCTTGTAAACTGCTTATGGAAAGTAGCTTTATTGACAATATTCAGAACACTTAGGAAATGACTATTTCTCAGAAATGTCTTCCAGGTGTAGCTGGCTTTTGAGGCTGCTGCAAGATCCTACCTCTTCAATATACTGGGATGAGAAGTCTCTGCCTACTTGGCCCAACTTCCAGTTCTTTGACACTGGCCTATGGAGTGTTTAGAGTGTTTTGTTTGTTTTTTTTTTTTAAGACCCTTAGGCAATCTCAGTTTTGGTATACCAGAAAGAACATCCAATTAGCACAATTATGTCACCTTGGCTAATGGAGTACAATCAGCAATAACAACAGCCTAGAAAATGACAAACTGTGATAACTATTACTTTGCTACCTTTAACTATCAAACTAGATTTGTGGTTTTATAATGAGATCTAGAACAAATACCACAGGAATTAATAGCTAGAATAAATTGGACTAAATCAAATTTAGAAGTTTCTGCACAGCAAGGGAAACAAATAAAAGTGAATAGACAACCCTCAAAATGGGAGAAAATCTTTGTCAGCTACCCTTGTGACAGCAGATTTATAGAATATATAAAGAACTCAAGGGCCAGAGATTTAGCTCAGCGGTTCAGTGGCCTGCCTTGCAAGCACAAGGACCTGAGTTCAATCCCCAGTATCAAAAAAAAAAAGAACTCAAAAAACTTAACACCAAAAATCAATAAATGGGCAAATGAATTGAGCAGATACTTCAAGAAAGAAATACAAATAGCCAAGTATATGAAAAAATGTTTGCCACTTTGCCATTAGGGATACACAAATTAAAACTTCATTAAGATTCCATCTCATCCCAGTCAGAATGGCTATCATCAAGAACAATAAATAAATAAATAAATAAAGAGATGGATTTGGGAGAAAGGGAGCCCTTCTACTCCGCTGGCAAGAATGTAAATTAGTACAGCTACTATGGAAATCAGCTGAGGTACCTCAACAATAAAGCTACCATTTGATCCAGCTAAACTCCTTGGTATACACATACTACTGGGGTCTTGCCTACCCATGTTTATTGTGGCACAATTCACAGATGAATGTATAACAAAATGTGCTATATCCATATAATGGAACACTACTGAATAATTACAAGGAATTAATTACTAACACAAGCTACAATATGTATTCACCTCAACTCTATGTCAAAGAAACTAAACATTTATATGAAATGTTTAGATAAAGTAAATTTTTACAGAAAGAAAGTAGACCAGTGGTTACGTAGGGCTGAGGATGGGAGTCAGGAATAACTACAAATGGGTACAAAGATGATGGAAATGTTCTGTACTTAATTGTAATGACGAGTGCACAGTTATAAATTTATTAAAATCATAACATTTACAGTTATAATGGCTGGATTTTATGATATTTAAATTATATCTTAATAAAGTTGTTTTCTAAAATATCCAAATGCTCTCTGAAAGTTCATCAATAATTAGGACAATGAAAACTAAAATCACAAAGATGCACAGAAGTCTGACAATATCAAAGCTAGAAGACACTGGGCAAGAAAACTTGTAAACACAAATGCTACAAATATCAACAGGCACAATTACTTTAAAAAATAATCTGTACTGATTTTGCAAAGCTACACATGTATATGCTAGTCACCAAATCACTCTAAGGTAGATATCCTAGATAGGAGCCAAATTATAAATATTTTAGGTTTTGCATACCACACAGGCTGCCCCAACTAACTCAGTTCTGCCCTGTATCACAAAACAGCCACAGACAAAATGTAAACAAACTAGCCTAGTCATGTTACAATAAAACTTTATTTACAAAAGTGGAAAGCAAACCAAATTTAACTACTAGGTAGTACTTTGCCAATCCCCTCCTTAAAGTAACACTTGCACATGTGATCCAGGAGATAAATACAAAAGTTGTCATGGGACTTGTTCATATTAACATAAAAGAAACAACTCAAACGTTCACTCACAGGAGAAAAAAATTTAAAATGTTGGCATATTTTCAAAATGGAATAGAATATAGCAATAAAAATGAATTATACTCTTGCTATCTATAATAACAGATAAATCTTAGAAATAACAAGTGAGAAAAGCAATTTACAGAAGAGATACGTGATTTAATCACAGACATAAAGTTACAAATAAGCATAGCAAAATAAAATGTTGTTATATCTGCTATAGAAGTATATGCTGAAGGTAAAAGAAAAATAGAATGCTAAAAATTCAGGATGAAGTTTACCCCCCAAAAGAAGACCAATGACAGATTAGAACCATTAAGTTTAATAGTTTCTGTATTATTGTGGTTTTTATATTGGTATGCAAGTTCATAATTTCTATATGTAAGATATATTTGATTTTGTATACCTAAGGTCTATTAAAAATTTGTTGTTGTTGTTGTTGTTTATACCGGGGATCAAACTCAGGACCTTGTGCTTGCGAGGCAGGCTGCAGAACCACTGAGCTAAATCCCTGGCAATTTTTGTTTTGTTTTGTTTTTGACATAGGGTCTCATTATGCAATCCAGGCTGGTCTTGAACTTGCTATATTTCCTAAGTTAGCATCAAACTCATGATCCCCTGCCTCAGCCTCCTACACGCTGTAATTACAGCTGTGTACCACTACACTCAGCAAAACTTCGTTTCTTAATATATCAACTGATATGCTCCCTACATTCAGCTGAAAAGCCCCCCAAAAACTGAAGAGGCTACCGCAGTACAAGAGAAATTAGAAAAAGCAGTCATCAAGGTATTGATATTCCAAGCCATGAAAGTAGATCACAACCAAACACCAAAAAGGTTTATAATTTCCACTTGGATTCAAAAAGAATCCAAGCTAAGTGAAAAAGTATTGAAACTTATTCCAAAATTTAAAAATAAAAGCACACATTGGTTAATCTTCCATAAGTTCAATTTTTTTCTATTTAAATAAGTTTATAACTGTGAATCACTATTGTTACAAACTTTAATAATTGAGCACATCCAACACAATGCCTGAAAGACTGTCAGGTACAGTACTGTATTATGATTCTGGTGCCACCTGGTGATAATTCAATGCAACAACAATTCAATGTAGGGTTTTTAACGTAATAGGCATCTACTAGGCATAGTTCACATGCATCTTTAAATCACTTTTGAAAGATAGGAAATAAAATAAGGTACATTATCTAAAACTGAATCTTCTAGTCAAGGATTTTTTTTTTTTTTTGGTCTAGCCAGGATTGAGCTCAGGGGTTCCAGTGCCTGCCTTGCAAGCGCAAGGACCTGATAAAAAAAAAAAAAAAAAAAAAAGAAAGCAGAATATTCTATCTTCAATGAAAAAAAAAATCTACAGTTAAAATAGGACTATCAGAATGTAAGGATTCTGCCACCTGCTTCACATGCACAGGGTCCGAGTTCGATCCCCAGTACCCCCGCAAAAAAAAGAATATAAGGAAACAATCTGCTCTTATTTAGAAATTTCCTGAACTAAGCTTCTAGAACTTTCAGGCGAGACATCTTCAGGAGTGGATTGGTAAATACACAGTCTATCAAATAACTATATCCATGAATGTACAAATGCAGCTTTCAGGGGAAAGAACTGTAGTGCTCTTAAAATGGCTTCTATTTCTTGAGCTTTTTTTCAAAGGTTAAAGCCCAACCTTCCTTTCTCTGAACGTGGGCTGGGATTAATAACTCATTTCCAATGCAATCTTTGGAACCACTCACCCTGGTGAGTCACCCATCATGTCCTGAGAAGACTGGAGCAACCTGTAGAGAGTCCACTTGGGAAGAAATGGGGCCTCCAACCAATAATCAGCACCACCCTGCCAGTCATGAATGTGAGACCCCCTAGGAAATAACCTCCAGCCCCAACCAAGCTTCAGATGACTGCATCCCTGGCCAATACCATTAAGCTGAGCCATTCCTAAAGAAACTGAGAAGTAAATAAATGTTTATTGTTGTTTTAAACCCTTTAGTTTTAGGATAATTTGTTATGCGATGATATTAATACAATAACACATCACTTCCTAAATCAAGTTTCATCTATGACAAGCAAATATAGCTCAGCGTACTTTGATGGCATTATTTCCTCAAATGTTAATAAAATTTTAAATATCCCTTCCTCATATACTAAGTAGTGACCCTTTTTTAATTCCCTCAGATTGTTTCATAATATTGTTTCATAGTCTTCATTACTTTCTAAATTGATTCAAAAGAATAGGTGCCTACACAGATTTTGGTCAGCCCACAGGATTTTTTTTGTAACGCCATCATGTGCAGAGCTATACTAGGTGCTGAGGGCAAAATCACACCCTTGAACTTATAATTTAGTTCATATTACTGTTCATACAATTATTTATGTTTCTAATTAAACTTTTCCTCTTGGCTCTGAAGACCAACAGAAGACATGAAAACTTTTCCTTTACCTCTGTGAGGGATCCACAAGCAACACCACCATGTAGGGCTTCATCCAAAGCAGAGAGGGTTGTAGATAAAAAAGCTGGTAAGAGATTAGCAGACCTTTGTGTCCTTATTCCATAAGCCTAAAGAAGAAAAGCATTAAGGTCTTTACATCTTCCATATCTATTTTTAAAAACATGTCAACTCCTAACCTCTGAATTTCAGCAGCTGGGACCCAAATCCATCCTTTTTACCTCTTATTTGTTCTATAAATATTTACTCCGTGCCAGGGACCATGCTGGAGTATGGAGATGTGCCTTCACAGTCTTATTGTCAACCAGAGACTACGAGGGCTGGAAATTTAGTTCAATGGTTTTGCCGCCTGCCTCGTAAGCACAAGGTCAGGAGTTCAATCTTTGGTACCAAAAGCAAAACAAAACAAAACAAATAAAACCCAGAAACTATGAATCTAAGACTAGAAACTCGGTGATTACAATATGACTAGTAAGAGACACCGTGATAGGAAAAGTGGACACATACAGACAGTGTAACTGATTGGACTTTGTGATTTAGGAAGGCTGCACTGAAGAGGGGGATATCTGAGCTAAAATGTGAAACAGTTACTAGATAAGTAAAGAGATGTGAGTGTTCCTGCCCAAAAGGACAGAATGTACAAGCAAAGTCAAAAGCAAGAAGAGAAAATGAAGCTAATGAAAACTGCAAAAAACAAGCAGAGAGCATTTAGAATGACTGAAAGGTGGAGTGCGCCCCCAGTGCAACAGTGATGAGGTTACAGCAGCGATGACAAACCTCTCAAGAGCTTTCAATGATACAAACCCCAGCCCGCTGCAGCAGGAGTGCCATTAGTTCACCACCACTGGATCATAGGATGAACCAGAGGCCTAAGCAGAAGACCTCTGTGGAAGTTTGGAGTTTATGTTGAGGAACAAAGAGTAACATGACGGAGTTATCATTTCAAACTCGAGTTACTGTGTGAAGAACAACTTGAAGGAAGCTGTGATAGGTTGAGAAGCTGCCCTCTAAAAGGCAGCCACCTCAAATTTCCTAGAACCTCTCTGTGAATGTCACCTTAATCGGAAATAGGGTCACTGCAGATGTAATGAAGTTAAAGACCTCATGATGAAGAGATGATCCTAGATTATCTGGGTGAACCCTAAATGCATACCATGCATAAATGTATATCACAATATACAGAGGAAGAGGCAACATGAAGACGAAGCAGAGACGGAATGGCCACAAGCCAAGGACTGTCAATGTTCCTGGGAAACTGGAAGAGGCAAGAAAAGGATTCTCCACTAATGCCTCCAGAGAAAATGCAGCTCTGCCTCTGCCTTGATTTCAGACCTCTGGCCTATAGAACTGTAAGAAAATAACTTTCTTGTTTGAAGCCACCACTGTAGTTTGTGGAGCCACTCCAGAGAATAATACACTAAATTACCATTTCAAAGATTTGGGTTAGAAAAATAGCTTGAAGGTAGGTAATAAGGGAAGCTGGGCCATCGGTCACCGAGAAATTGCAACCATTCCAAAGAAAGGAGTCAGGCATGGTGGCTCACACCTGTAATCCCAGCACTCAGGAGGCTGAGGCAAGAGGATCGCTGTGAGTTCGAGGCCAGCCTGGGCTACATAGTGAGTTCCAGGTCAATCTCAACTAATAGGGAGACCCTGTCTCAAAAAAATAAAAATAAAATTAAAAAGTGAGTGTTGTAATGGTTTGAGGTTTTTCATTTTGTTTAGTTGTATTTCAGTTTAGTTTTGCTTCGCCTGGGTAAAACTATACTATTAAGTCACAAAGATATGAAGCAAATATTGTCAGCCCCTCTCATATATTGTTGTGATTCAGGAATAGAAAAACTGAAAAGAGCAAGGATATAAAAAGGTAAAAACATTCTTTGGGTAGGCACCCAAACTTACCAAAATGTAAGTACTATATAATAAGTACTGTATACTTATTTCATTTAATCCTCACAACCCTATACAGATATACAGGCACCCTATGTGTACCCCACACATAGGTATAATTGTCTTTATTTTACAAACGCTAAGAAATGAATAAATACTAAGAGATTTCCCAATAATTATGAGATAAAAAACTGTTGCTAGTTTTTTTTCTAATTAGAGGCAATAACTGGCCTATAGCAAATTGGAAAGAAAAAAGTTGGAGAAGTCAATAACAGAATTCCACAATCATAAGATAACCACTATTAACAAAACAGTGTGTGTGTGTGTGTGTGTGTGTATAAACATACATATATATTATATAACTTTTATAAAATTGGCATGTACACTATAAACAATTTCCCAGCCTTCTTTTTCACAAAGCATTTATAGCCTGACCATTTCTCCTGATATTAAAAAATTTTCAAATAGTTTAATGCTTACATATTATTTTAGCACATAGGAGTAGTAAAAATTTCTTTTTTCATTACCGATAATTCTGGTTGTTCCCAATTTTTTTGTTGTTGTTGTTTTTTTTTTGTTGTTTTTTGAGACAGGGTCTCACTATGTAGTTAAGACCAAACTGGAACTCACTATGTACCCCAGGTTGGTCTCAAACTCACAGCGATCCTCCTGCCTCAGCCTCCCGAATGCTGGGATTACAGGCGTGTGCCACCACGCCCGGCTCTGTTCCCAATTTTTTGATGTAAGAAATACTTCAGTGAACATCTTACAGGGACACTTTTGTCTACAACCTATCAGCAGGCAACATGAGTGCCCACAGGGACACTGTATCAAACATGTGAAGGCAGCCCAGTCTGCAAACGTACATGTTTTTCATTTACAACTGTAAGTGTAATTACTAGAACATACTCCATGACTGTCAAAAAAATACGATGAACAGAACAAGTCCAGAAATAATAGTATGAAAATAAACGAGACAAAGAAGAATTTTGTAATGTGACACTATACTAGTTTTTCCTCTATTTAGGTAGCTGCTGCTTCCCAGACTTTTCATTATCTAATCTGAACTTAACTATTGGCATCACTTGAGAATCCATCTTGTGTATACTCATCTCACTGTATCTGCTTTCTGGGTGATCACTCGGGGCTTTTCACTGATAATTTCTAACACATACTTTTAGTGCAGGCTTCTTCAGGTTCACAAATGAATTTAACTGCCTTCGCATCTCTTCCAAATGTTTCACAAGTGCCTTAAATTAGACAATAACTGAAATGAATTCATTGTCTGCCCCCTGCTCCTTCTAGTATTCCTTATCTCAGGTAATGGCTCCACCTAGTTCCTCAAAACAAAAATCAGGGAGTCTGACACTTCCTGCACTTTTCTATCTTCCATAGCTAAACAATCACCAAATCCTATCAATTCTATTTCTTAAATATCGCTTATACTAACCAACACCATGCCCTCTGCTTTAACACCACACTAATCATTTCCTATGTGGACTACAGTAGTAGACACCTAAATACTCTTTTTTATCTTCTTTATATATTTCCATCACTTATCTGTATTCAAGACCTATTTTTTAAACATTTATGACATTACACACATTTTCCATTACTTTTTTTTTTGTAATGTACTCGGGATTGAACTCAGGACCTTGCGCTTGTGAGGCAGGCAGTGGAACCACTGAGCTAAATCCCCAGCTTCCATCACTCTTAGAATAATGTCCACCATCCTAAATATGGTCATACAATGATCTGACATCCGCTTATTTTTCAATGAAGTGTTGTCTCCTTGAAGGAGCCCTGAACTCCAAACTGAGTAATGTCCCTTGTTAGAAAGTTCCAAAGCTCTTGTACTCTCCCTTCATAGAACTTAGCAATACTATAATTAACCAATCATTTCCATATGGTTCAAATTCTAATTTTTCCTACTATACTGAAACAAGAACCCTATCAATCAATCTCGTTCACTATGCTAACCCCAGAATCTGACAAAATACCTGACACATGGTAGGTGTTCAGTAGCTATTGGTTGAAAGAATAAATGATTAAATAAATAAATGAAAAAAAATCTGTTTTAAGGAATGAACTAAGCTAAGCCAAAACCTAAGACAACACTCAAATACAAAGAACATTAGAAGAGTAATTACAAACCTAAGGAGAAAGAGAGCTTCATGAAATGCATTTGGAATAATATTGAGACTGCAACTGAAAGTGGTAAAGTAGAAACCAAAGTTGAATTTCCTGCCCAAGCTCTATTAATTTTCTAATTAGAAATATGTCATAAATATTGAAAAATTAAAATAATAGATATTAAAAGTTTTTTCTGGAACTTTGTAACTTTAAAAAGTAGTATACAGGGGTAACACATCGTACTAAATATGTAAGGTCATATCTACGTGGGTTTGATTACAGAATCTAATAAAGTATTCTCTAAATAATGAAAAAAAGAATAAGATAAGACTATAAGAGCAAGAAGCAATTTAAATATGTTCGGGGACCATTTTCATCTCCAGAATTAAGGATTATTTTAATGTTACATCATTGCCTTTTCTCTTTTACTTTCCTTTTTAGTTTTATTTTAGAGTTCCCTATTTTTAATGTTCATACAGAGATTTCTTTACTGAAATACTGAATAGTTTCTTTGGTGCGAAAAACTATAATAGTACACAGGATCCTAATGAGATAATTAATAATGTGAAATAGGAAGTAAAGGGCTAAAGGTGTAGGGAAAGTGGGAAGGGTGGGGGAAAGGTAATAAGGGAGAGGAAAAAAATATGAGAAACTGAAAAAATGGAAATAAAGTGCTTGTAAATGGGGAGGGGAGG